TACTACTACTACTACTACTACTACTACTACTACTACTACTACTACTATCACTACTATCACTACTATTACCAGGACGCATCTTGTTCCGTGGTTCGCCCCTCGACCAATTGTTTAGGGATGTTTAGGGACTATAGGTCTTAAAGCTTTGGGGTTTAGCTAATAGGGTTGCACTCTTGTTCGCATGGAATCGCTGGAATTGCTGCACATCCAAACGAAGTGAAAAAGTGTAAAAAGCATAAACACGATAATAAAAGCTCACGGTCGCTAATCACGGCATGAGCTAAAACATGCTAAAACTACTACGTCGCTACGTACTACAAGTAGTCAAACCGAAAGAACTAGCCAGCCATGACTATCCATGGCCCGCTTGATTTCACCCTTGGTCGTGGGTCCACCGGACAGTACTCAAATGTACTCAGTACATGTTTTGAACCACACCGAGTGGGTCCTCCCGCTGCTGCAGCGCCCGTTCGCGCACTTCGTACGCGGCTCGGATCCGCTGACGCGTCTCGTAGAAGCCTCGCGGCACCTGACCATCCGTGGTTTTGGGGCATCTTCTCTATACAAAGGACGCTACTAGGGGCCATCCTACTACACCAAGTCTACACATGTCTAGACGGCCCACGGCCTTGCGCCATACACGTGAACCCTCCCGTCAAGAACCGTGTGTGGCGACACCCGCCTGTGTGGCCGCTGGCTGATGAGCTTTGGTGTAACTGGCATCCGGTCATTGGTCGATCGACTGTCCCATTGACCACTGGTGTAAAGGTAGAGTTCTTCTGAACTGGTAAAGAGATATGGGGGTTGTTCAAAAGTCCTTTCATTTTTTCCAGGCCTTTCGCAGGACCTTCGCGAAGCTTTCGCAAGCTTTCGCGCGTGGGGTTTTACCACTGTCGGCGAAAATGGTTTTTCGTTGGGGCTAGAGGCTTTCAAGGATTCATGCAGTTGCCCTGGCACGTCGTGTGTCCTCTGACCACTGACACATTGATTGCTGAGGAACAGGAAGCCAGCCAACCAAGCAGTTTTCATGTTGGTGTGTTTTTGGTTGGGCACAACCCTCCATGAACAAGAGACGGCTCAGTCAGGCCAGTTTGCTCAGACTTCCAATTTGCTTTTTTCCAAGCCGGGAAAAAGCAAAATGGTTCAGACTTCCAATTTGCTTTTTCCCGGGAAAAAGCAAATTGGTTCAGACTTCCAATTTGCTTTTTCCCGGCCCGCGAGAAAGCAAAATGTATGCAGTTTGGAATCCGGCCTGGAAACAAGCAGCGCCTGGGGGAGTCGAGCCCATGACCTTCTGCTTATGGACCTGGCGCCTTATCCATTAGGCTACAGCTCTCTGAAAAACATGCTTTTTTTCCAGGCTTTACAAAAGAAAACTGGATGTCCAGTTTGCTTTTCCGGCTCAAACTTCCAATTTGCTTTTTCCCGGGCCTGGAAAAAGCAAAAGGCTCAGACTTCCAATTTGCTCTTGCCCGGGCCGGGAAAAAGCAAAATGGTTCAGACAGCGGCATGACTTGACACAGAGAGCTGCAGATGGTCATTTCCGTCTCTGCCTCTCTCTCTCTCTCTCTCTGCTCTCTGCTCTCTCGGGAATGCACCAAAATGAACTACAATCTCCCCCGCACCCCCGCGCCCCAGTAGCGTCCTTGTCACTAGTAGCGATGCCAGGAGCCCCTAGTAGCGTCCTTGTCACCAGTAGCGATGCCAGGAGCCCATAGTAGCGTCCTTGTCACTAGTAGCGATGCCTGCGGTCCTTCCAAGGACTGCAGCGGAACGAAGTCCAACAGATCAGAAACAACAAACAACAAACCCTGCGTGTGTGTGTGTGTCGAGTGCACGCTCACGTTACATCCTCAGAACCGCACGCTGGAGTCACCGACCGTGTTGTATGCGCACTTACAGCCGTAGAACCAACCACCTCACCTCACATACCTGCACTTGTGGGCATGCTATGAGTGCATCTGCAGCTGGAGTGTCCAGCGCGTGCTTCCAGCAAGAAGAGTGGAGTGGGGTGGGGTTTGGCCCTGTCGTCTTTCGCATCCACAATGCGAACCTTTCGCCATACTTGCGCAGTTTCCCACGACAAAGAATTTTCCAAGGGTCGGGAAAAAGCAATTGGAAATGTATCAGACTTCCAATTTGCTTTTTCCCGGGCCGGGAAAAAGCAAAATGGTTCAGACTTCCAATTTGCTTTTGACCGGGGCCGGGAAAAAGCAAAATGGTTCAGACTTCCAATCAAAATGGTCCAGACTTCCAATTTGCTTTTTCCCGGGCCGGCAAAAGCAAAATGGTCCAGACTTCTAATTTGCTTTTTCCCGGGCCGGGAAAAAGCAAAATGGTTCAGACTTCCAATTTGCTTTTTCCCGGGCCGGGAAAAAGCAAAATGGTTCAGACTTCCAATTTGCTTTTTTCCGGGCCGGGAAAAAGCAAAATGGCTCAGACTTCCAATTTGCTTTTTCCCGGCCCGGGAAAAAGCAAAATGGTTCAGGCTTCGAATTTGCTTATTCCCAACCCGAGAAAAAGCAAAATGGTTCAGACTTCGAATTTGCTTTTTTCCAAGCCGGGAAAAAGCAAAATGGTTCAGACTTCCATTTTGCTTTTTCCCGGGCCGGGAAAAGCAAAATGGTCCAGACTTCCAATTTGCTTTTTCCCGGCCCGGGAAGAAGCAAAATGGTTCAGACTTCCAATTTGTTTTTTCCCGGCCCAATTTGCTTTTTCCCGGCCCGGGAAAAAGCAAAATGTATCAGGCTTGCAGTTTGGAATCCGGCCTGGAAACAAGCAGCACCTGTTGGATTCGAGCCCGCAACCTTCTGCTTATGAGCCGAGCGCCTTATCCATTAGGCCACAGCTCCTTAATTTTACTTTGTAACCCTGATATAAACTGATTTTTCCCAATTTGACTCAGACTTTGAACTTGCTTTTTCCCGGCCTACACTTTCAATTTGCTTTTTTTCCGGGCTGGGAAAAAGCAAAATGATCAAGACTTCCGGTTTTGGTTGCGCCCAACCCTCCATGAACAAAGAGACGGCTCAGCCAGGCCAGTTTGCTCAGACTTCCAATTTGCTTTTTCCCGGGCCGGGAAAAAGCAAAATGGTCTAGACTTTCAATTTGCTTTTTCCCGGGCTGGGAAAAAGCAAAATGGTCAAGACTTCCAACCA